GGACCACGACGATGAGGAGCAATCAGTCCTTGACGCCGTTTCGACGCTAAATCAGATTAGTGGAGGTTTAAAGGTATAAAAGGCCACAAAATAAGCAAAAATGGAGCTGAAAATCGACTGAAAATTTGATTCCTAATTCTAGGGGCTGGGCCGCTACTTCAAAGAGGTCACCCAATCAGCGCGAGCCGATTCCGAGGAGAGTACCGATGACTTTTTGGGCTGTATCAATATTGATTTGGATGTAAGTAAAAACTACTATAAACTCTATAAACTACAGACAATAGCTCTCAAAATAAGCATTTACCGCTCACCTATGAATTTTTAGAAAATCCCACCCGACGGCCTGGAGCAGTGGTACAAGCTCGAACAGAGGAGTGAAAAATCGAAGGTGTCGGGCAGTGTTAGACTGAAGGTAAGTTGAAGGTGTTAATTTGAAGCCTAAATTTAGCTGTGGCTGAGCACGAGGGAAGACAGAATTGGAGATGAGGAAGATTTGCTGGACGTAAAAGAGCACATCGAGCTGACGAGGCAATTCGCGTTGTATGAGATTCGACAGAGCGGGGTAAGCTTGAACCAATTTTTTCGTATTTGCGCATTAATAGAATGTAAAAAATTAATTCCCATGTCATATAAAAATTATATGGATACTGTAACTCGATAAAGCTATAAATTTAGTCCCCCGTCCGAATGTGGGACGGCTACTTCCCCGACAAGCCGATTTGCATCCTGAAACAACATGCTATTCAGAGCGATTTGGATGACGTTCAAGTTTGGATGTGGTAAGTATTGGATCTTCTGTTCTTTTTCTCTCTCTCCCCCCTCTCCCTCTCTCTCTCTCTCTCTCTCTCTTTGTCTCTCTCTCCCTCTCTCCTTCTCTCTCTCTCTCTCTCTCTCTTTCTCTCTCTCTGTCTCTCTCTCTCTCTCTCGCTCTCTCTCTCTCTCCCTCACCATATTCATATATTTCAGTAAATGGCTCGCCTTCCACTCGATGATCCCAATTGACATCTCCTTCAATTTGTTGCACCAAACTTTACATACCTTGCTGGAGAAGTGGAAGCCAATGGAGTTGGAAAAGGTATGTTTAACAATGACTTACGGCCTTGCGTGTCGCGACATGTGCTCTGCGTGTCGCTACATTGTTTTCGTATTCTGGATACAAAATTTTGATACACTATTAGATCCCTTTAGGAAGAAGAAAACCTTCTCCTCGAATCGTTCCACCAATTCGACGCCTACTGCCGGAAGTGTCTGTTGGAGCACCGTGAACGATTTGTGCCGACGAAGCGGAATAGTGGGGAGGAGTTTATCTCTCTAATCAAGTGAGTCGTTAAAGCACGACAATGGCAAGGCTCTCCCGTTGACGCTGCATGCGAATCCGCCGCAAACTTGTCGTAACCAACACGCAAATGAAAGATCCAGTGCGCGTTGCGCCTGTCTACACATGCGTTGCGTTGCCATATGTTCGTGTTGCGCCTTGCGTGTCGCGACATGTGCTCTGCGCGTTGTCGTCGTGCACCTCGCGCTCTTGTCGCGAGATGTGCAGTTCGCGCCTCGCGGCATATGCGTTGCGCGCCGCGGCCTGTGCGTTACGTATCACGCCACGCGCGTTGCGCGTCGCGACCTGTGTTGCCAGTTGCGAAAGGTGCAAAAACCATGCCGAAATTCATAGCCACCCGAATCTTACGGATCTACTTTCCATTCCAGATGTATGCGCTCCCTCCGTGAAAGCACCTTTTTCTCAAAATTCCTCACCGCGAAGCGGCCTTTCGTCGCACACATCGAATCACTATTAGCGGTACGTCTTCAAAAACTTTCTGGAAATTCTAATCAATTTAGAAATCCGCAGAAGCCTGGTTCGCTCAAGTTGTCGAGTCATGTCAGGATGATGATCCTTGCAAGGAGTTGCTTAGGTAAGCAAGCCCGAACTCCTTGAAAAACCTTATCATCTTCCAGCATCCTGACCCGCTTGAACAAAGCCTGCTCTCGGTTTCTGCACTATTCCGCACCCATTCGAGAAGTCGCCCGGGCCGATTATGCTCATATCACGTTGTCGACTTTTGATACCTTGGTAAGTTAAGGTTTAAATGATACCTAAGAACTATATTTTTCTAGCTAAGCGAGTACCTGACGTCGGAGATGATGGCGGAGAAGAGTTCAAATCTCAAAGCGCAGCTAAAAATTTCTGCATCTGATCCTCCCACTGATGATGATCTCCTTGATTTGATTCGGATCCACATCGCCTTCGTCGAGTTGCGGAATCACAGGCTGGCAAATCGGGTGTAAGTTTGAACTACGTTGCTTAAAAATACAATTTTTAATGTCATGCTTGGCATTAAGCTTTAAAGTACAAAGTCCAAAGTGAACGCTTTTCAGACGAGTCCGAGAAGAACCAGAATGGGCCGACATCTTCAACAGGGGCATCAAGAAATTCTTGGACGTGGCGAGGGAAAGAGCGACGGCTCGTGTTGGACTGTCTTGTCAGCTCGATATTCCGGTAGGCGCCTATGGACGTAGTAAATCTCCTTGGTTTTAGATCAACACCGGCGCCAACGAGATGAAGCAGTCCAGCAGTCACGTGGATGTTTGCCATATTGTTGAGCAGGTATGTGCGGTTTTAGGCAATTTTAACGTTCTCCAGACGTTATGTGCCGGGTTAATGGCAGAGAATAGCTTCAAAACTGCTGAAAACTGTATTTTAGCTTACCGTCTGCTGGGAGCGCTGTGAAATCACGGACCCGCGACTTCGAGCCGAGCTGACGGAACGATTTGTCGATTTGCTGTGTGAAGTCGTGAAGAATTATTCTATAAAGGTATCGTTATTTTTATGTTAGAATTTTTATAGAAGACGCAACTTCCAAAAAAAAAAGATATTTTAATCTTCATAAAACCGAGTTTTAGACTATTGCTGCCCTTGAAGCCGAAGGATTCACCGGAGATTTGCAAGTGTTCTTACCATCCGCCTTGTTGAGTATTGTAAGTTTTAGGTTTGAGGAATCATCGATTTTCTCCCTCTCTCTCCCTCTCTCGCTCTCTCTCTATCGCTTTCAAAAAAACTCTATAAAAACTGACGTTTTCAGTTCTGCTCGGCCATCAACAACTGCGAGCATGTTCGACGCGCTCTGATCGTTCACGAAAAATTGCGTTTGGACGATTTGGGGACGAAGGAGGAACGTGAACAAAAGGTCGGTTACCCTTTTCTAAAACATAAGTTTTTTATTAGGGCGGTTCCAAGTGGAAGATATTGATCGAACAGCGGCTAGAAGACTGCGAGGAGATGATCTCGGCCGAGATTGACAGGATGATTGACAAATTGATCAAGTAAGTTGGCATTTCTGACGTATGCTTCTTGATGACTAAATAGCTTCACTGTTCTAAATTATGCAGGATATCGTAGTTTACATAGGCAAAAAGCGTATGGAAAAGTACATTGCTGCGTAATTTCAACTTTTAGGCGCCTCCTCCCCCAAATGAAAAAGCACGTTTTCCACTTGGCTTGGTCACCTTCAGCCTGTGCCGTTGAGGACTCCCTAAAGCCGCTGACAGATATGGTACGGTTTTCGGAAGTATGACACTTAATAAGCCAGTTGGACCAGTCGATATAATAATATTTTATTTTCCCCCCACCCCAAATCCCAAAATCCTCCCCTTAGGGGGAATGGGATGCAATAAAGAATGGGGGGGAGGGGCGGAATAATAAAGGAAATTTTTTTTTTATTTTAAATTTTTATGAAGATGTGAAAGAGGGGGAATGGAATGGTATAGAAAAGTAGAATGTTCAATTTTAAATTCTTAGATTTTCTACTACCACCCATGGCACCATATTTTAGCTAGACATCGAGCTATCAGCCGTCCACCGGCAGCTTCTTCATAAGAATTTCCTGCGAGTCCTGGCCAACCAAGCTGCAGCAGTCGTGATGCTGTTGCGAGGATGTGTGGATGAGAATCCAGGGGTACGTTACGCCAACTATTAAATGCCGATACCTTCGAAAACGTTAGAATTACATATCGTAACTTAACTTCCTTCAGATGGAACCCCATTTCTACCAGCGCTTATTCGATTCTTGGGCCGTCTTGGTCGACTTCTTCCACGCTGGAGGGAAAGGAATCTCGATGGAACAACTCGAGACTACCCCTCAGCATATGGTAAATTCTGGACTAAGGTAGTTTAGCCTCTTTTTAGGACCTCACTCGAATCCTTTCACTAAACCAGACCCCGACCGAACATTTGATCGAGAAGTATTACAAGGAGTTGTTGAAGCAGCAGGTAAGAGGTGAAAAACGGCAAAAAAAATTGAGAGGGCGGGCTAGAAGAAATCATTAGAAAATTCAAGCAAGCTCAAAAAATGCTTAAAATAAAATGACTTAAAAATAATTGCATCGATTGTTTTTACAGAGTTTTAACAGTTTTATAACTTTTTGCTTACCTCGCGTCCTCGGTTAAAACCAAAATATACTTTTAATCTCTCATTTTACTTTTTGCTACCAGTTATCGTTATTTTTCTTCAGAACGAAGTGACGGACTGCAAATACGGGATTCTCAACCTACGTGCCTACTACAATGCCAAGTCCCAGACGCTGAGGTTGGACGGTAAGTACAGATTTCGTGGGTCTAAAACACATAATTTAGTCATCGGCGCCAAGCAAGTGATCCCACTGGACACCAATGGACTGTCGGATCCATTTGTCGTTATCGAATTGGTGCCCAGGGCAAAATTCTCATCTCAACCAGTGTTGAAGACAAAAGTCATGCCGAAGACGTTGAATCCGATCTTTGATGAGACGTTTGAATTGTGAGTTTTGAGCGGAATTTAATTTCTGGTATTTATGCTTCTTTTAAGTGAATTAATTTCGCTACCAGAATGATAGTTATATCAATAATTGGTTTTAATTACTTTAATTAAATTTATACGTTTAAAATACCTGAATTGCCTGAAAACGTTCGCCAATTTCAGCCACATCCCGCAAAAGTCCCACCGGGGGCCCTGCTCCACTTCACGGTTATGGACCACGATTATCTGAGGTCGAACGACTTTGCCGGGGAGGCGTATTTGGAGTTGATTGATGTAAGTTGTAGCAGTACGTCGTAGTCGTAGGAATGCGGAGTGACACCTTGTAACCTCCACCTCAAAAATGTTACTTTTTAAGGTACCTGGCTTCTCGCCAACTACAGCACCAACGACGCTCCGGCAATTCAATCTGGTTTTGATCCATCCCGTCAATAATTGTGAGTTAGAGAAGGATAGAAAGCCAGACAGAGAGAGAGAGAGAGAGCGAGAGAGAGTTAGAGAGAGAGAGAGAGAGAGAGAGAGAGAGACGCGAGAGCGGAGTTAGATAGAGCGAGAGAGAGAGAGAGAGAGAGAGAGAGAGAGAGAGAGAGAGAGAGAGAGAGAGGGAGGAATAGAGCAAGAGAGGAAGAGCCAATTTTTTATAAGTTATTTCTAATACGAATTTTCAGGCAAAGACGTCTTCCAAGTCCTCGACAGTCGAAAAGAAGACAAGGAAGCTCAGGATTTTCTCCGGAACGTCCAGCTGAATTACTGATCTCATCTTGATTTTCCGGTCCTTGCAATTAGCATCGCATAATCTCGTTGCACCCGCTCACCTTGATAGACCTAAAAATGCCGTTATCCCGATGCTTTCCATAGACTTATCACGCTTTCGCGGGATTTTTCATTATATGTATTTTGAATGTGGTTTTGTGGGGGCTCCCAGCTCTAGTAGTTTCTGCAGAAGCTCAAGTATGATCTCGTAAGGCTTTAAAGGTATATTCAAGCTTTTCAAACTGAGCTTGACGACCTTTTTAAATTTTTGAACGTATTAACGTTAAAATAAGCCTAAAATTTGCCGTTTTGCTCGTTTTTAAAGACCTAGTCCGAAACTAAGCTTCATTATACCTTTAAAGCCATTAACCAGCCATATAATCTCTTAAATGCGCTCCTCTTTTGTATGTCTCCACATTTTGCCCCCTGCTTTCAGTTCAGGTATTCGCCAATACATGTATTCCGATCTCCGCGCCCGCCGATCCCGTTGATCCAAGCCACCCCTCGCCCCTTTCATGAATGAACCAAATGCACAGAGTTGCGCAACTATCAGAGGAATAAAGCTATTTTTATTACGGATTCTGTTAATATTACAAAATACGGCACGCGATGCAATTAAACATAAAATTCATTATAAGATTTGGCACATTTTACGTTGCGATTTTATTAGGAAACTGGTAGATTGCCGACTGAACATTGCTGTAATAACGATTGTAAACCGAACTTTTAGGTTTAGCGGATTTTGCGTAAATTTTACACTATAATGCACGATCTTTTTCTTTTTAACAGGATTCTAGCAGAATTTGTATGCAGTTTCTCCGTAGGTTTTATTTTTTATCAAGTTTTATTGCTTTGCACTTTCTAATCTTAATGAGAGTTTATCTTTACCTAATTTCTCCTGCGGATTTAATTTAACAAGGCAAAGTATAGCAAGAAAAGCAAAACATTTGCTTTTTTCCAATTTGAAATGTCGACACCGCACTTTGCGTACAAGAGCTAGGAGCCGTTCAGGCAAACAAATTCTGATAATTTACATCATAGTTCGACCCAGCGATTATTTTCAGCAACACTAGTTTGAGATGATTTGTCCGTTACTGTCAATGGTCTTGGCCTCTAGTTGGGAAGAAGCCTGGCACGCGCGCGTTCCCTAGTATCCCCGGGCACCCCATACGAGATATCGATAGAAATGGTGCCCTCTGCTAGCCAAGTGCCTCCAGGGGGTCATAGTTGAACGAACGGCCATCGATTCCGCCGCAGCACCAATGTTTCCCGTAATTGCCCCTTACAACTGGTTGGATACTAATAGGGTTGATAGCCTTTGGTAACCTCATTATTAGGGTTCCACATCCGGTTTTGTCATTTCTTACTGATCAACAATTTTCTAACTAATACTATTTTCCATTAACATTCGACACCACTTTCATTTATCCCTCCCGTCCGAAATTCCCAGTTTATTGGCCTTTTCGCTTTTTAAAAGATTTTGCCCCTAATATAGCCCCCTCTCATTCCCCCAAGTTTTTCAAAGTCGAATAGTCTTTTTCCTAGTCTACCAGTCACAAAATCCCTAATTGTTTCGGTATTTTTACCTTTGAAAAACATTACTTTAGCCGTATACGTTAGCTAATTGAAAAAACCCGACTAAACTTTAACCCTAAAGAATTATTAGTGGCATTAAACAGTTATAACCGAAAAACAATCCTTCTAAACCTGACTCTGGTGGTAGAGTTGATCAAAAAGCAGTTTTTTAACCCAATTGCAACTTTGTGATGTAATATTTTTAAAATCGAAACTAACCAATTAATTTGCATTTAACATAAACTATAAATTCCGAAAAAAAACTTAATTTCCAACTATCGATCCGAAGAAGTGCACATAGTCGGAAATAAATTAATTGTTGTTTTCAAGTTCCAATTTATTTGGATACCGTTTTACTAATCAACGATTATGAAAATCCTAGTTTTCAGAAACACCAACTATGGCGCTCCCGTTTTTGAATTGCCCTGATTGCAACATTTGTTACGACGCGGAGCCGTACAAGCGGAACTGCCCGGTCATCCACAAAAACCGGCTCAGCTGCTTGGATTGCAACAAGGATGAGCAACAAGTGGTAAGCTTTTTCAATTTTATCTTCACGTCTATGTCTGAAATTTTATAAATCGAGCTGCAAAAACATAGTTAGGAGCACTTAGCGGGCTTTGAAAAAACTGCACAATTTAACTAGCGAAACCGGTTGGTCGTCACCGCTTAAATAAAGGGGCTACAAAGTTTTGATTTGGCCAACTACAATTAAAGCCAAAACCAAAACTAAAACAGCTACATGGGTCGATCGTGCTAATTAAATGACTTCAATACTTGCAAATTCAAGTGTTCGCAAGCTCGGTTAGGATTGCAAAAAGTGTGAGTGCGGCCGTGATTAATTTTTTTTGCTGGTGCGTTGGAATAATTCTGAAGTTTTTGGACGCGTTTTGAAGGTGCTCGCAGCTCTGGTGGCTTTTGAGGAAGCCAATCATTGTTTTTTTCAGTATATGTTTAGAGTTTTGCCATATAACGCAGCTCCGTTGATAAAGCTAAATTCTGAACCGCTCTCAGCATTGCAAAACTTCAAACTGCACATTTTCGGAATCGCGGGTCAAAAATTATTAAAACCCGCCCTTTCGAAAAAATTTTCTCGAAAACTGTAGGGGGTCGGCAATTTTTAAAAGATGGGATGCGTTCAGAATTATAAGCTCTATAAAATGAGCTATGGTCCTTAAAAAGCGCCTAAAAACGTTTCCCCCGTGAGCCACTTTAGAATATGCCCGGGGCACCACCCCGAAATAGACCATTGCGCGCACTAGCCGGCCGTACGACATGTAACTCATAGCCCTAACAAGCCCTAGAACATAAAATTTTACCATTTTCAGGCCGAATTCCTGATCGACTTCCTGAAGCAGCCGAATCTGCGCCGAAACCGGGAACTCATGCCCGGCTGGGAGGCGCTCGGCCCGCTGAAACCGTTCTCGTGCCGGAGCTGCACGCGTGAACTATCTCCCGTCGGCGCCGAGCCATACATCTTCGAGGGGTGCTACCACTTGACGTGCCGATCCTGTGACACCAGCAAATGCGCGTGCGGCTTTTCCTACGGCTGGGCCCGCAAGTGCGAGCTGGAGATCTTCGAAAAAGTTGGGCGTTTCAGGACGCACGAGGCCAAATTGGCAGCGCGGCAAAAGGAGTATGAGCAGGGGATTATCGCACAGCTCAAGAAAGCCAAGCCCGAATGCGCGATGTGCGGTTTTTCTCTCAAAACGCCGCTTGTTGCGATGACATGTGAGCATGTGGTCTGTATACAGTGCCGGGAAGATGTTCGCCATCTCGACGATATCTGTGACGTCTGCCGGAAGCCGAAGGATGGCCATATGGCATGGGGGCAGAAGTTGCTCCGGGAGGAGGCGCAGCGAGTTGCTGATCAGGAGAAAGCTGTAGAGCAAAAGCAGGAAAAATTTGCTGTGCAAGGAAATGCTAGGCAAACTGTGAATCAGGAGCAACAACAAGTTGCTGCTCAAGAAACTGGGCTAAAAACTTTGAAGCAAGAGCAAGAAAAGGCTGCAGCTTACGAAAAAAAGCCCACAAGCTTGAAGGAAGAGCAAGACAATGCGGAAGCTCAAGAACGGAAACTGAAAGCTATGAAACAATCTCAAAAACAGTGGCTTGCTCAGATCGAATTGTTAGAAACTGAAATCCGGAAAAGAGCTGCAGCTTACGAAAAAGAGCCCAAAACCTTAAAGGAAGAGCAAGACAAAGCTGAAGGTGAAGAACAGCAAATGGAAGCTATGAAACAAGCTCAAAGACAGTATCTTGCTATAATCGGAATGCTTAGAAACGGAAATCCGGAACCGACTGTCCAAAATCAGCCAAGATTCTGGTTTCGTGGGGGATGATGAGAAACCGGAAGCGGATCCGGAATTGCACGCTTTTCGAGCAGAGCTTCAACGCCTTGCCGATACCATCGACGGGAAGGAACCGGAACCGGAAGTTGGCTCTTCAAAAGCTCGGCCAAAAGCGCTCGAGCAAGGGCAAGAAAAAGTTGCTGTTCAAGGAAATTCCACGAAACCTGTAAATCAAGAGCAAGAAAAAACTGCAGCCAAAGAACGGGGAACGAAAGCTATCAAACAAGCTCATAAACAGTACCTTGCTCAGATCGGATTGTTAGAAGTCCGGAAAAAACTGTCCAAAATCAGTCAAGATTCTGGTGTCGTGGAAGATGATGAGAAACCGGAAGCGGATCCGGAATTGCACGTTTTTCGAGCAGTGATTCAACGCCTTGCCGATACCATCGACGGCAAGAAACCGGAACCGGAAGTTGGCTCTGAAAATGAATCTGAAAAAGCTCCAGAAAATGAACTCGGCTTCAATGCTCCCAGGGTCCGGCTTCCCGCCGAAGTTCTGGTCGACGGGCTGACCAAGGAGGTCTCGAAATTGCGCACTGAACTTGACGAACTCAAGCTGGTCATTGAGCTCCAGGCGCTGGAACAAGTCAAAATTGCTGATCAGCAGCAGCGGCAGCAGGTGCCAACGAAGAGCGGAATCCGAACTCTCAAAGAAACCTGTCTTCAAAAGATCATCGAGGTCAAGAAGGCGGAAGAATCTGCCGGAGAGAGTGATCACGGCGATTTTGAGGTTTTGAATTTGAAGGATCTCAGCCTTGCAACTGAAGATAGGATAAAGAACATTTGAAAATCACAGAAAAATCCAGCTGGATCTCACTTTTTATGCTCTCGATCTCTACCTCTTTTTCTTTAATTGCTAACCCGAATAAATGCTTTTCAATAAACTCGCATCCAAATTTTTTCTACTTTCTTTAAATACATTGAAAATCTGTTTACATACTACAACACTTCGGAAAAATTAAACGAACAACTTAAAGCGCACAAACTAAACTGAAAGCATCATCCTCTTTTGTAAAAACTCCAGCTTGAAATCAAATTCTTACAAGGATGGACGCTCTTACAAATTTAATTT